CCCGAATAAAATAATAATAATAATAATAATAATAATAATAATAATAATAATAATAATAATAATAATAATAATAATAATAATAATAATAATAACAATAATAATAATAATTTTTATATAATTAGGCTGTTCGGTTATTTAGAATAAAAATGACGACATCAAACCGAAATAACCGAGTTTTTAGAGGTAAAAAAAATGAAACCAAAATATAGAATTCCGAACAAAAAATTTTAGTTCGGTCCATTTTGCTCGATAATGTGCAATTGGACACTCATTAAAGTGCAATTCGTATAATCATATTGTGCAATCGTGATACATAAAAATATATAAGGACTAATATTATTTTTTCATATAATTTGGTCAGTTCAATTATTTATTTTAAAAAATGAGTCTAACATTTTTATAAACTGAACGTTAGGATAATTAAATTGCACATTAATATTTTCATATACTATTTTATTTATTTTGATTGAAAAAATAATATTATTATTAAAAATATAAAAATAGTATTTTTTATATGGTTTGGTCGGTCTGGTTATTTCGGGTATTTAAAAATAAGTTAAGCTCACATTGAATCGAAATAACTAAAATTTTAAATGTAAACACATATAGTCGATCCAAGATAAGTTCTGTATGCAAAAAAAAAAAAAAATAATCGGCTTCGGATTGCTAAGGTGCAATCCGACAGTCGCTAATGTGCAATCTGTCTAAAGCTAAAGTCCAATCTGGAAGACATTAATGTGCAATAAGTCTAACACTAATGTGAATCCAAAGTGCATTTATTCTTTTACAAAATAAAAATATATTACTAACAATAGGTATGTTATAAGGTGCAACGTATTACTATATGAAGTGCACGCATTAATTTCTGGCACGTTAACATGATTGTATTTTTTGTAGATGGAATTTGTGATAAAGTGCAAGTATTGTTTTATAAAGTGCTATATGTTATTTTATAAAGTGTGATATCCCCTAAAAAAAAGTGCACTAACTAATTTATACCTCCCAACTAAATTATGTGTATATTTGTACATCGAATTAACATAAATAAATAGAATAAATTTTTATTTATTATTTTTTACTATATAATTTAGTTGTAATCACAAAATATTTTTATTTTATTTTAATATCTTATATTATTTTTATTTAATAATTTATTTATTATATAATATATGCATAACACAAAAGGTCAAAGGCTTTGCATATATGATTCTCTCTATCCACTCAATTTGAGCCGTCACAACTTAAATTTGCATTTATTAGAATCTTAATTAATTACAATTTATGTAACTAATTAAAATATACTACCTCATATTTTTAATATATGTCGTTTTGAGAAGTTGTGCATTAATTAAGAATAGTTTTTTGTCAATAATAACCTTATTTAATGAAGATAGAGATGAATGTTTTGAGAAAAAGTGAAGAGTAAATATGAAAAGATGTAATGTATTTATTAGCTAAATGAGGGTCAAAAATATGTACAAAATATCCAAAACGATATTTATTTTGTTAATAGTTGATAAAGCTAGAATGACATTTAAAAAAAATAGAAGGGAGTACTAATTAAATTATGTGCATTTGATCATAATTGTGCATTTATTGTGTTTATATTAAATTATAGATTAACCTCATAAAATATATTGCAATATAATTAAGAATTTAAAAATTGCACATTAGTCCTTCAATCTTCTCAAATTTACAAAATTATGCATCAGCCCTAATTTTTCGAATTGAGTGCTCTCTTGATGTCTAATTTCTGCAATTGGATCGATTTTTTTTGCATTTTCAGGTCTCGTCGGACGGCGCCGACGTCGGTACAGTTAGAAACGGCGACAATGCATCCAAGGTTGAGATTATGTCAATAATAGGAGGACTGGAGAGTTTCAGGCGACGCTAGAGGCCGAGGCGGCGATGACAGAGGTTGAGTACGCAGAGCTGGTCGGGCCGCGGTTTGTAAGGAGTGGAAGATGTCGATGGCGACACAGCGTCGCGATGAAGCCT